CTACCTAGACAGTAGCTGAACTAGCTGACAGTAGTAATTAATTTGTTATCCGATAAGTAGTTTGGTTTGGTTTGGTTTGATAATAAGACTAATTTCTTATAATATATAATAATAGCTCCCGTATTTAGCGTTTAACGCCTTGGGAGTAGCAAGGTACAGCTTGCTATACTAGAGCCCTTCGGTATACAAGGAAGGTAATGTGGCTAGCACTACGCTTCAACCGCCTATTATTACCTCAGGATTGTGAATCCCAAGTACTCATTTAAGGCTGAGTCGACCTAGGTACCCAAACTATTTTTATTTTAATAAAAATAGTCGGCTGATGAAATGCCGGGTGTGAGAATCGAACCCACACCTTCAGATTGGTAGACGAGAGCCTGTACCTCTACTACTTTTTATTGGTAATAAGACTAATTTCTTCTTATTCTTTTAAATATTACAGTGTTTCTTTTTCCTAAAACGTTATACTTAATTTTCGCTTAAAATTAAAAAATCACAAATGGAGGAAAATATACGTTATTGAATAAAGTTTATACAGATCACTTTACCATAAAAAAAAGTAAAAACATGTCATGGCGGAAGATATTCAGGTGGCATTTCACACATTTATCTATTAAAATCGAGATTAAAATAATAAACTTGCGTAACATGTTATACACGAGATAGAAAGTTTCAGAATCGATTAATACGCAATACGCTACGCAGTCAACTTATTCCTATGCGCGGATGAGCGTCTTCAAGACTCTTCCTTCGGCCAGGGTCACGACGCCGCCGAAGAGGAATCGGCCTATGTTTGGCTAAACAGGCTGGACACGGTGGAGTACGATATTGGCGAGTCTGAATATTTATAAAAATTTGCAAAGTAAAATATGTTGGAAAAATAATTAATCCATACATATATAAAAGCTCAAAGGGTTTTTTTGTTGCATCCATCCCGCCGAAACCGCATTACCAATCTTGATGATTCTTTTTTTTAAATGAAAGGTATATATGTGTAGATTTGTTATGAAGTATTTTTATAGTGCTTAATGGCTATTTCTTTGTGTAAAACGACTAAATACTAAAACATGCCTGAAAAACACCTACACACAATACCTCCAGAAATAAATTATTTGTCATTGTCAGTGATGTGTCAGTTAGATTATATATTACGTTTTTAGATATTTTAGAGTGAATTCATGCCGCCAGCTTTACATACATAAATATTAGCACAAAGGTTTGTTTAAACGACATTAGTGAATTAGCTACACAAAGCGATTTTAGGAAATTCATCCCCTTAGAGGGTAAAATTATCTCGGAACAGTTTGTTGTATGAAAATTCCTTAGTATTTGATCTAGAAGAATGAAATCCTACAAAAAGAATTAGAAGAAATTTTTGAAATTCATCAACCAAATGGGAAAAGTTAGTAAAAATTTATATAAAACTTGGTGACCTCTGGATTATACACATAAAAATGGGCACAAAGGTAAAGCGAATTTATGAAATTTATACCCTTAGGGAGTAGAATAGGGAATGAAAGTTTGCTGTACGAAAATGCAATATTATAACATTATAAACCAGACAGTATAAAATTTTATAAAAGGGTTTATTTAGTGACATCATAACGAAATATATCTTCCTCAATTATCCTTCAAAGAATAAAAAATAACCTATAAAGAGAGTATTAGTGCTCTTAATAAATAAAAAAAAGATGAAAAATAAAAAACAGTAGTAAGTATTAAAAAGTTTTGTGTTTAAATGGGGTTTGCCTTTAACAGTTAAAAAATTATATCGTAGAGTGTAACTTTCCGTAAGAATTCATTTTTTTGCTTGCTTGTTTTACGGATAGGTGCGATCGCATAATTATTATTGATAATGTTTTATTTAATTTTAACATTACTACTTTTTCAGTGAATCTTTAAATCTGTTGTTTTTTGTTAAGTTCGTTATTTAAACATATGTATGTAATACACTCATATTAACACTAATCATATTTTTACGTTTTTATTCATCATTTTCAATGCCCCCCCGGTTGCATCTTTGTAAAGGACTGTGAATTTTTTGAATTGTATGATTTGTATTGTTTGATATTTTTTATTTTTTTATTATTTGTATATTTTTTGTGCTTTTGTTTCTTTTGTAAAGGCTTTGTCGATGAAGCTATATTGGCTTTTTGTACAATAAAGCGTTATTTATTATTATAATTAAGCGGCCAAACAGGATCTCGTTTGTATTGTACCACAGTGGCATTTTACAAATCCTTCTCAAGAAAAACTTTTTTGCATTTCGGTTATAGTGAAATGACAAATTATGACACTATAACACTAAGTTTACTGTTTCCAAAACTGGTTGAATATTTTTTTTCTTAAGTTTCTATATATTTCATTTTTATCTCTATCTTATAAGGTCTAGTTTTTTTCTAATTCTCATATACATAATATCATTTTTAGAAAAACGCCACCATCACTGTGTCTGAAAAATTCCATATCAATGTAAACGAAATCTTTTCCAGTCTTTTATAATTTTATTATAATAATGCTAATTAATGGAGAAATTTTCTGAATTTGTCATTTCTACTCTTCAAACGTAATTAGAGACGGTCTTATATAACAGACTCATTTTGTAATTATTAATAATTATTAATAAACATTAATAATCACATTAATCTTTGCCAAGTCAATGAAATAAAATTATAATAATTGTAAATTAAAAAATCCTCTTTGTAACGTATAGTCAATAAAACACAATTAAACAAATAACTCTTTTATTCAACATTTCACTTTCTACAACAATGAATGCTCTTCTATTTATTTAACTTGTGGTTTACCCTAATGTTAGATAATGTACGTGATTGGCGTACAATAAAGATAATCGTTTGTCTCGAGGCTATACCTAATATGGTCGTTAACTTTATTTTCTTCGCTCGTCTTCTCTCTTCTACCGATGTAAATTACTTAAAAGTGATAATTAGGTGTAGATTTGTTATTTAATGAACATGGTTTTAAAGATTTAAAATAAAACCAATAATTAGTAATTTTCATATTTATGTATTTTAGTGTTAAACGGTTATAAAATTTAATAAATTCATTACGTATATTAATAATATCACTTTAATTTTACATTTAGTAAAAATATACAGGGTGCGTCTCAAAAGTGGCTCACCCCTATAACTTTTTTATTTTTTCAGTTAAAAAAACGAGATTTGGTGTGTTAGTATATGACATAAATTTAGGATTGATTGACGTATTCAATTGTTTTCGGTAACTTCCTGTGTCACCGGAATTGACTACAACTTTTGATTTTTAAATGGCACCCTCGGTATTTTTTTACTTCATTTGATAGAAAATAACACTCTGAATAGAAAGACATATCATTTGTCAACTTTTGACATTTTCGCATATGGTTATACATTATAACTTGCGGTTCGTAACGAAAATTTGACTCAAAATACCAAGTTTGTGGTATGAAATTATTCGTAAAAAATGTTTTTTTTCTAAATATGCTAATGAGCCACCCTCGCTCCATTTGAAAAAATTGAAATATGATTAAAAATACGATTTGAGCATTTTCTTACTGGCCAGGACACTAATAATATTAGACCATGAAATCTATTTTTCCATGGCTTATTGATTATTGATAAGAATTAGTTTTTTTAACATAGCCAGGGCACTCTAGATTGAATTTTAAAATACAATTATTATAATAAGCGAGAATGTCAAAAGTTGACATATGATATGTCATTCTATTCAGAATGTAATTTTCTATCGAATAAAGTAAAAAATACCGAGGGTACCATTTAAAAATCAAAAGTTGTAGTCATTTCCGGTGAAACAGGAAGTGACCAAAAACAATTGAATACGCCAATCAATCCTAATTTATATCATATACTAACATACCAAATCTCGTTTTTTTATCTAAAAAAATAAATAAGTTATAGAGGTGAGCCACTTTTGAGACGCACCCGGTATAAATTTACCTATAAAATGACAGCAATCTTTACAGCCATCGCTGACGCCGTTTTTGTATCATATTTCATATGATACACTTGTCATTATATACTGTTAGATATGTATATATCATGTCATTTAAAATCTATTTATGTAATTTCTGTTTTTGTGTCTTTTCTCTTAAACGCTAATGATGTCATCATATCGTTAAAAAAAGATTTGCAAGTTGGTCAGAAGAAATCAAACTGTGTATAGACAAACCATTCGTTCACATTTCGCTTTTTATGTTGAATATGCATATGTACAGGGTGTTCAGAGATATTTATTGTCATACCTGCATGCATACCTACTGGTGGTAATATAACTTTAAATGTAAAATTGACAGATTTCTCCTGAACCGCTAGAAAGTGAAATAAAAATAGACAAAAGACGATCAGAAGGTTATGAAAAAATTTAACTTCACTTTTTTAATGAATCATCCTGTATACTTAAGGTTATTGTAAAATATCTCTTTCTTCCTATTTCAAATACAGTATGTACCCGGAATGTCTTTACAAGAGAAAAAACTTTTTAATTATTGATATTTTGAGTAAAATGCATTCTTCGTAAAAAATGTTATTGCTTGTTCTAAAATGGTTTAATGCCGTTTATACTTCTCCAGATTTCCATACCGTTTTAGAGAAAATTATAAAAAAACATGAAAATAATGTTGAATTTTCTGTGGTAATATAATGTTGTTTTCATTCTTTGAGAGATTGTTATTGACAGAAGTAGGTTCAAATTTTATTTATTTCAATGCTACGGAAAGGGTGATTATAGTTATCGGAAAATGTGATATTTTAACAACAAAAATATTACGTTAATCAAAATTAATAAAAGCCATCTATCAAAGAATGAATTCAAAATTCTATTACCATAGAAACGCATTTTGCTTTTTAGAACTTGCATTTTTTTCAAAATATCAATAATCAGAAAGTTTTTCCTCTTGTAATTTTTATTTTCTATATTTGCGTGACCAGTTTTTGAACTAATTTGGTTGAAGCAATGCAATCGTTACCACGCAAAAAATTATGTGCATTATTGTTATAGTCTTCAACGCACACTATGCATTTTGTGTGTACAAAAAATATATACAGGGTGGCCCATAAAAAGAGGTTTTTTGTTTATTCTAATTTTACTTTTCCGCGTTTAAGGAAAACCTTACAAATCCTACATTTAAAGTATTTTACTACTTCCTGTAGCTATAAGCCTGCAGGAATGGCACTTTTAAGTATCTGATAACCCTGTATATGTCTGTGATAAAAATATATTTAGAAGACTTTCATGCTGGATACATTTTGTTATGATTTATGTTAAGATAATATACGTACGTGAGAACGAAGATCAATACAGCCCTGCACAGCCATATTCTCTTACATCCCGTCGAAACGAACACCATCAACACACGTTCTAGTTCCCAACCTTTGCAATTTGCGCCTTTATCGACCGCCATAATAACATCTAAATCCGCCGTCGTCGACAAATAATAAATTTAGTTTCACTTGAACGGAATGTTACAATTTTTTTATTTACCGATATCTCGTAAACGCAGCAGCCGCATATAAAATGAGACGCGTGTCCAGTTGCATGCTGCACTCGATCCGTAAACATCGCATCTCAAATATGCCCCAGTGTAAACTAGTACTCCTCGTCCTTGGTACTTTGTCACTACAAGTTTTCTGTGACGATGTCTCACCGAAGTTCAAGTTTATGGACAAGAGCAGTTTTAAGAAATCCATGTGGAAAGAGTGCGCCAGTTCGTATTCAATCCCTTGCTTCAAACTTGACGTTATTTCCTGGGTGGACAAGTTAAACGAAGAAGACACCATCAACCTACTACCTGGAGTATCGCTGGTTCGTGAGGAATCAGGAGCCAGGTCAAGCCAACCGGATATAGTGGCTGAATTGGCGAGGGATTTTCCTAATGATCCTAGTTCTAGGCTGGATGCTTTTCTGTTGAAAAGGATTACAGGGTTTTTGAACTCGCATTCGATTAAGTTGAATTTTTTTAACCAAAACGAGAATGTGGAGACTGGGAGAGGAAAAGGAGGTGGTGGAGGAGGAGGAGGTAAAAAAGGAGGAGGCGGAGGTCATGGGCATATGATTTTGGCGGCGGGTGCGATGATGAAAGGAATGTTGATGGCTTTAGCCCTAGGTAAGAAATTTAATTATTTATGTTACGTATAGATTAGACTATATATGTTGTATATTGGTTATTTTGTGCAATAAAATAAGAATAAAAATATTTCTACATAAACAAAGAAACATTGGATTTAAATCAAGAAAATTACTTCTTTGTGACCCTTAAAAATTATCATATAATAGAAAAACAAAATATATAAATTCCAAATATTTAAATCTAAGAGATAAAATAAGACTAGACTTTCTATTTTCAAATGAAAGGGAAAAATCAGGTAATTGTATCAAATCTTTAAAATCATTATGTTGATATTAGGCAAGAATTTTATTTAATTGGAGTATAGACTAGAGACTATATTATTATGTTTCCAATTTAATTATTTTGTGCAATAAAGTAAGAATCAAAGTATTTGTACAAAATAAGTCGTATTTAAACCAAGAGAGTGACTTCTTAGTGACTTTTAAAACTTATTGAATAGAAGAACGTATAATTTAAAAAATATAATATAAAATTAAAATATTAAAAGTAAGAAATGTAAACAAAAATAGACTTTCTATCAACATATATGAAAGGGAAAATAGACAACCGTGTTAAATGCATAATAGAATTATTGGTAGTTTTAACAATTTCAGTAGTATTAATTGTTACATAATAACTCTAACTAACGTAAATTATTTTTAATAAATGCAAATAATCAATTAAAGCTTGAGCTCGAATAATGAAATCATATTAATTGGCCATCTTTTCCAAATATTTAAATAGTTTTCTCTTTTTAAGGAAACAAGCGAACAATATAAAAAATATTATGAGTGTTCTTTGAAAATTTGACAAAGTATCAAGATTCCATAAATAGATTATTATTAGATAGATAATATATATTAAATTTTACACTTTTAAGGCTTGCAAAATATAGAGTGTGTTCCATTTAAAAATTTCGCATGCGAGCTCCTCCATTATACTAAATGAAATTAATTTAATTAAAAAAATTAAATCTAAATGATCAGATGGAGGCTATTAACTTTAAAATAATGTTGATAACAATAAACAATGGATTTTCAAACAAATTAATATATTATTTAAAAACAAATATTGGTTAACGTACGTCTCACAGATCTAACTAATACTTTTGGTTGGTTTTTAGGTGTAAGTAATCATATATGAGAATTCAGAAATTATAACTGAATTTTAAATACTGTATTGTTGCTCTGTTGAGAGTGCTTTATTATAATGTTTTTCGTTTTTTAATGGTCAATTATTATTAAATTCTGTTCGATGAAATGAGTGCAATCCAAAAGAATTGCAGCACTTACGTTCTATTGAACATTTAGTGTTAATGGGCACTTATTGAATATCCTTATTTTTATTATTATTTATATGAGGTTCCAACCTCCAACTCTAATAATTTCAACCATAATAGTTTCCATTTTACTTATTCAATGTTCTATAGTTTTGTGATAATGTGAATTACTTGATAAGTTATATACAGGGTGTCCCAGGCTGAGCGTGCATTAGAAGTTTCTGGAGAACTACAATATCTAGATCGGAGATTGTTTGTACATCATTGTTTCACAACGAGATCTATAGATTAAAACTATTTTCAATATGGCGGCACTTCCGGAAATACCAGAAGCTGACAGCAACTGTCTTATTTTAAAGGGGTGCCCCCGTTTTTTATTACATAATTAAATTCTCTGTAAAATTTCATGAATTTTGATAACAAACACTCTATACCTAAGATTAACAGTTTTTGAAAAAAAAAATATTTCAAATTTTTGGGCAAAAAAAACTGCCTGTCAAAAATATTTGTATATGCCTAAACGTCAAATTTAGTTATTACCACAGTCACTGTGCCATTAAGAGAAGACAAGTGGCTATCTATTTCAAAAATGAAATTTTCAGAATGTAATATAATAATGACAGCAGCTGTCATGGAATTGAGCGATTAAAAAATTATCATAAATCATTTTTTTCAAATGGAAACTCACTTTTTTTATTTCACTAGTGAAAAGGCAATTTCTAATTCCTTACTTTTTGACTATACATGTTCCTATACCTAAAATAAGTTGTTTTTAAGATATTTTAGATTTAGTTTTAAAGCGTACATTTTTCTTGATTTTAACCAGTAGCCTATGGCCTTAAATGCCAACTGATGTAAAACAATAGATCTGGCTATGTCATATTGTGACACTTTGTTCAAAAAGCAGTATGTTATCGATCATCATTTCCAAGCCAACTTTGCGCTGTTTTTTTCGATCATACGGTATATTATTAATAATATCAACTATTAGATGTCATTAAAGAGCGAAAATACGAGATATATTTTTATAAATATACTTTTTAAACTCTTAAGAAGACAGTATTTACTATATAGGAAATTCAAATAATTCGTTTTCTGACAGATGGAAATACATTGTCTGACTGTTTAACACTTAATATCAAAGGAAAGTAGATAAAACCAAGAAAAATATACGTTTTCAAATCAAAAATCTTAAATAACTTAAAAACGATTCATTTTAGGTATAGGAACATGCATACTCAAAAAGTAACGAATTGGAAAACCTTTCCATTAGTGAAATAAAAAAAGTGGGTTTCCATTTGAAAAAAAATATTTATGATAATATTTTAATTATCATCAATTCCATGACAGCTACCGCCATTATTAAATGACATTTGAACAATTTAATTTTTGAAACAGATAGCCACAGTCTTCTCTTTATGTCACAGTGGTTGCGGTAATCACTAAATTTGACTTTTAAGCTATACCATTTTTTTTAACAGGTAGTATTTTTCGTTGAAAATTTTTAAATATATTTTTTTTTTCTCAAAAACGGTTAATATTAAGTATAGAGCGTTTAACATCAATATTCATAGAATTTTACAGAGAATTTAAGTATGTAATAATAAATTGGGGCACCCATTTAAAATAAGAAAGTTGTTGTCAACTTCCGGTATTTCAGGAAGTGCCGCCATATTGAAAATATTTTTAATCGATAGATCTCGTTGTAAAACAATGATGTGCAAAAAATCTCCGATCTAGATGTTGTGGTTCTCTAGAAACTTCTAATGCACGCTCAGCCTGGGACACCCTGTATATCTTGTAGATGACATAATTATATTTTTTAGCGCCTGCAACTGCATTATGAATAACAAGTTACTTGTTTAACTACTGAAAGTAAAGTCATTATTTGCTGTAAGCTTTATTATATTGGACTATTTGTGAAGTATTTTGGAACAGATACTATATAATAGCTATATTTAAATAACCAGTATGATATGAATATTATTTCAGAAATCCTACGAAGTTTGCAAGTCGTATTCCTCCATGAGATGAATCTGAAACAAAAGAAAATAGTAAAAAAATCTAAAATTAAATTGTTATTTTAGTAAAATGCTTTACAGGGTGTGATAATTCTTTTGGGGTATTTCAATGATGAGTATATATATAAACCATGTGATATATTATTTCAATACAGACGCTAAACCGGGTGCGTCTTAAAAGTCACCCCTGTAACTTTTTATTTTTTCAAAAAAAAAAAACAGATTTGGAATTTTAGTATATGATATAATTTAGGACTGATTTAGGTATTCAATTCTTTTCGTTCACTTCCTGTTTCACCGGAAATGTCTATAAATTTTGATTTTTAAATGACACCCTTGATATTTCTTTACGTGGTTCTATAGAAAATGACATTGTGAATAGAATGACATAGCATATGTCAACTTCTGACATTTTTAATTAAACAAAGTAACATTTTAAAATTTAATTTAGAGTACAATGGCCATAACTGTAACGACAATTTAACTCGAAATACCAAGTGTATGGTACCAAATTATTCGTAAAAAATGCCTTTTCCGAATATGCTAATGAGCCACTTTCGTTCAATTTGAAAAGAAATAGATATGATTCAAAATACGATTTGGCCATATTTTAACCGGCCCGGACAAAACACGAAAAACATTAGACGATAAAATCTACTTTTCCAAGGCTCCTTGAATAAAAATTAGTGTTTTTAACACAAGCATGGCACACCAGATTGAAATTTAAAATACGATTTTGTTTTAAGCAAGAATGTCAAAGGTTGACTTATGATACATCATTCCATTCAGAGAATGTCTTTTTCTAATAATGAAGTAAAAAAACACCGAGGGTGCCATTTAAAAATCAAAAGTTATAGTCATTTCCGGCGAAACAGGAAGTGACCGAAAACAACTGAATACGTCAATCAACCCTAATTTAATGTCATATAGTAACATACCAAAAAAAAGTTATAGGTGTGAGCCATTTTTGAAACGCATCCAGTATAGATGGCGATATTTCGATATATTGCTGATTTTTTGTAAAACAAAAGACAAAATAAATAGATAATTTTCATACAATCGATGACTTTTGCCATAAAAGTACAACTGTAGTTCAGATAAAGGGTAATAATATTGAAAAAATATATTAAAATTATTATGGTATTTTTTTCTGAAAATTAGGCAAAAATACAGAAAATTACTTTGTGAATAAATTAGGTTTGAAATTCTGCCATCTTCCCCAATTGATTGCTCAGCTCACGTAGCCTATTGTATAATATATAGCTTATTAGTATAATTGATGTTCACTGCAAATTCAATGGAAGATAGTGGGTAATACCATATTCAAATCTAGAAAAATATTGAAATATATAGAAAAAACTTGAATACAAAAAATGTAAGCAAAAAAAAGAGGGCAAATGACAACAATTGTTAAATCGATTGGTTTCTATCAGTCCAAATCATTCAATACATTATTCATCCGTATTAGAAGACTGACAAAAAAACTCACGTTACTTCACTATTTTCTTCGGTAGATCAATATTTTGTTTCTTTTTTTATTGAAGAGATGAATCCGCCATAGAGGTGTAAATTTTTTTTAGTACCAGTGTATTTTACCAAAATAAAATATTCAATATCATTTTACAAGAATATGAATTTTTGAAGGAATTTAATCGCGACCTCACAGTGTGTTTTTATCTTACTATATTTTCTCTCCTTTTAGGTGGAATCACTGCCATAGCAGGTAAAGCTTTAATCACCGGTCTTATATCGCTCCTGATATCAGGAATCATAGGAATCAAAGCCCTGACCCACCAGGAGAAGAAAACAACGTACGAGGTCGTTTCGAAGCCGATCTACACCCATTCTCAGACTCATTCCGAGTCTCACGAGCCAGTTGGACATGTCGGACATTCGTCCTATGGTAGGAGTTTCGATATTCCTGAGGAAGTCCTAAGGGTAAATCCCGAAGAAGGAAAACCACCAGTTCCCGGTTTAAAGCTTTAAGCAACTATTAGTTTATAATATTTATAATATTTAAGTGTTATTTATTTAAAAAATAAATTATTATTTGTTTTTTTTTTACTTTTTTATTTACTAAATTGTAATCGGGAATGCGTCAACATATACAGGGTGGCGCACCTCATTCGCCTCGGTGGATTATACGAAAACGGAAAGATGTAGAAACAAAATATTTTATGGGTATATGTGGGAAGGCAATGTGCATAATTTAAAAATATTTTAAAATGTACAGGGTATGTCAGAACTAAGATCCATACCAAAGTTATATTTTTTCTTATGGAACATCCGGTATTTTATTTCATTTTTGGATTCGCTGACATAAAATAAGGCATTTATTATAAGGGTTTTAAAATATGTTTAATAGCTTTGGTTTTTGAGATATTTAAATAAGCATGCTATGTAATAAGATGGCTGATGTCGCCATGGCAATTTTCTAGTGACAGTAGCTATTTTCAAAATCGACATTAATTTATGGACTTTATTTAAATTTATAACAGGTTATTTCTAATTAATTTACCTACAATAAGGTTAATAAGTAAGTATTTATTATTTTATGAATAAAAATGGAGCAGTATCTGCTGGCGGAAGGAATAGATATGTTACTAGTGATTTTATTTTGGGAGGACAATTGCTTGTTGGCCTGAAGGGTTTTTATGCTCAAAGATATCCAATTAGAAATTTTCTTAACAAGAGTTTTTTTGAAATACTACTTTTCCTATTTCACAGATTTGATAGTGTGGTATGTGAAAAACCTATTAGACAGAAACCTGTAGTTGGAAGTGAAGAAAATGAATTTGCCTTAATTGGTTCTTTTATAGAAAATCCAACAGATTTACAAGTCATCGTAATATATGTAAATCAAAAAACTGCTTCTTTATTTTTCTTGATAAAAATAATTAATACTTAAATTTATTAAAATATTGTAAGTAAATTAAATAAAAGTAAACTGTTATAAATTTAAATAAAGTCTATCAAGTAATGTCGACTTTTAAAATAGCTACTAAATGTCACTAGCAAATCGCCATGGCGACACCAGCCATCTTGATCGCCATTTTATTGAAAAATCGCTTTTTATTCAAGATCTGAGCCAGATAGGTATAGGAAACCCTAATATAGTTTCAAAGAGCATTTAAATCTGCTTCGACTTGTTTTAAAGTATACATAGTGTTGTATTTGAAATAACGAAGTTTTTATGTAAAATAAATATTTAGAATAGCCCTGCAATTTTTGATACCCCTGTATACATTTAAAGAAGTAATAACGTTCTTTAGTAAAGTTTATTTCTCTTGCTTCAAAGTCAGGCACAATAATTAACTCTGAAAAGTTATGTACAGGGCGTTGACAAACTTTTTTATTATAGCATTTAAATATCTTTAAATATCTGATAAACCAAAGCATTTAAACATATTAAACCCTTATAATAAATACCTTATTTTATGTCCAAGAATCCAAAAATTAAATAAAATATAGTGTGTTCTATAAGAAAAAAATATAACTTTGGTATGGTTCTGACACACCCTGTACAATGTTCAATAATGTTAAATTTAAGTTTTAAATTAATAAAACATTTTTTTTTAAACTAGGATTTCTATTCCTATCACGATACATTATTACATGCTTTGAATAAGAAGACTAAGGAAGGAGCATAATGCTATCCATGTATTCATGCATGGTGGGCGAAAAAAGGACTCGGGGGACTTCATTTGACACATTTGAATTTGATTTGAAATTTTGTGGATTTGTGAGTCTTTACGGAGCTTATTTTATGTTATTTATTATTTATTATACTACTGATAGTTGAATAAAGGTAGTAAATCTAGATGGAAATTGTGGCAGAACTTAAGTGACACTATCGCGATTTATCGAAAAAGACTCTAAATTAGTTGGTTGTGTAGCGTGCGGTAGATCTCGGCAAAAATCGAGTAAAATAATGGAACAACTTTTCGCTAGTAAGTGACTATATAATATACATACGTGTACTAAACCGATCATTTATGAAATTCACTTAAATTAACTAATTATATATTTTTTCTTGCATTTTTGCTTTTATTTACTACTTGCCAAAGATTAGATGTCAAAGAATTTAGATACGTCAATTTGACTTACCTACTTCAGTAGCGTATCGGATGTTTGTGTTAATAAATAATTATTAAAACTTATCTATTTTTATTATAATAATATGTTTTTATAACAATTTTAATAACTCCCAACATTTATTCACAACGTAAAATAAAAAAAAAATATTGAGTCTACACCCACGCCTACCCTACATCACAGTTTTAAATTTTTTAAATAAAATTAGAACGGCACTGATAAACAGGAATTTAAGTAGGCCATATTTGAGTCCCATCGCGGTGGACCTAAGATTTTTGATATGCTCCTTCCTTAAGCTTGATTTTCATGCATCCGTTATACGTTGATACGATCTATGGTCCGACGGTGCTCTGATTGGTCATAGCGTTTTCGCGCCACTTTTCTTCCGTAAATATTTTACTTCAGCCAGTCAACGGACCCGTTCATACGATAACGGACGTTTTGACAAATTTAATCTAACCTTAATAAAATTATAAGTAAAATAGCAAAATCGTTATGGAAACGAAAATATAAAATGACACCAACGTATATCCGATAAACGGAGACATGAAAATGCAATAAATTTAAAAACTGCGTTATTTTCTAACCAATCAAAGTCTTTAAATTCTACCAATAAAATGAATATCGTATCATCCTATCGTCGGATAACGGATGTATGAAAATCAAGCTTTAGTCTTCTTATTCAAAGATTACATGTATTATGGCCTCTAAAAAAAGTAGGAAGTTGGGAAAATTGCTTGTCCCCCCCCCCTGTACATTTGAAAATAGTGACCCTGTACATTTGAAAATAATTTTAAACTATGCACATTGCCTCTCTACGCATATACCTATAAATATTTGGTTTCTACATCTTTTCGTTTTCGTATAATCAACCGAGGTGAATGAGGTGCGCCACCCTGTATATGATGAATCTCATCAAATGTCATTTCCAAGTCAACTTGACGGTTTGTTTTTCGCAGGACATTCATAAAGTCTGACTTTTATTCCGGTTTACTAGTGCCGTTCTAATATTATTTAAAATCACTAAATATACCGGGTGCGTCTCAAAAGTGGCTCACCCATATAGCTTTTTAATATTTTCAGATAAAAAACGAGATTTGGTATGTTAGTATATGACATAAATTAGGATTGATTGACGTATACAATTGTTTTTGGTCACTTTCTGTTTCACTGGAAATAACTACAAATTTTTGATTTTTAAATGGCACCTTCGGTATTTTGTCGGTTTAAGCTCCGCGCGCACTGAATAGGTATCGGCGAGAGCGAGCGATACGTAATTTTCAGTTTACGTTGAAATAAATGTAAGCCCGCGCACCGCATTAGATCGGTACGCTCGGTGCGCTCGGTGCGCTTCGAGCTATCGGCGGTACTCGCGCCATCAGGCGAAATCAGAGAATGCATGGGAGGGGGCGAATAGTCTACGCCGAGCGACTGTTTTTAGTGGAGCGGTTTTGCATTAAACATGTCCGATGAATTATTAATCGAAAGTGTACGAGACCATATCATACTTAATATGCGGTTTTTTATAAAAATTTCTTACAAGCACGTAACCTATATTGTTTACTACACTTATTCAATAACTGAATTAGAAAACCTTCCGATTAAACTGATTTATTTCTCATCTCGTTTTGATTATCTCACATTATTTTGAAAATCGAATTTAAATATCGTCAAAAAACTTATCATATTATTTATTTTTTGGTTTGTTTTGACGTTAGTAATAACAGCTGATAAATAGTCATCCTATGTTACTATGTTGATCGCTCCGTAAAAGGTACAAATAGAGAAAATAATATTTATGTTTGAATAAAATATTTGTACATATATCTACCGTATGATAGAAAAAAACGGCGTCCAGTTGGATGGTAAATGACGATTGATGGCATTTCCTATATAAATTTACATATAAAATGGCACCGACCTTCATATCATGGTCATCGTTGATGCCGTTCCTTTTCGATAATACGGTACTATAAAAACTATTTATATTTTTTCTTTTTTCAATTTTCTTTGACTTTTTTATTATATTTTAAGTTTTTAAAATCTTGGTTTTAAGTCAATAGTGAATAAAACGAAACTTGTGTTTACATTTTGTTTAATGATTGCCGTTTCGACTAATTTTAATTCGGTCTTCTTTAGCATCTATAATATACAATACAATTTTATCACTAACAATGTGTTTAATATATAATTTTTTCTTACCACAAACGTAGAAAATTATTTATACGTATATTATAGATTCTGAAGAAGACCGAATTAAAATTGGTGGGAAATTCAATCATTAAACAAAATGTAAACACAAGTTTCGTTTTATTTACTACTGACTTAAAACAAAGATTTTAAAAACTTAAAATAAAAGCTATATATAAATGTTTATAATGACACTTATTTAGATTAAAAAACTAAAAATAGAAGTTTTATTTGACTATTTTTCATATCTAGCTTTGTTTTTAAAGAACAAATTAAACCCTTTTGAGTTATACCAAATTTGTTAAAATCGGTTAAGCTAAGAGTCATGTAGTATATTTTATCCCCATCTTCCACTCTATTTCACTAATTTTATGTGGTTTGTTAAGATATAAATATATTAATGTGTGTTTGGTTAAGATCTAAATAATATCAATTTCCATCATAAAGCATAAAATATAAAAAGTTGCATAAAAATATAAATAGTAACAATACTTTATAATTTTTTGAAATGCCGAATGAATTTGACTAAATTTGAATAAACTTCTCCTCGTCTATGCTCAAATTTATGCTGGTGACGTACTCTCGGTCTCGACCGTCGATCGTGCGACTCCAGTGCGTGGCTACAATCGACTTTCCGACCGGTTGTGCCGCTCGCACCGCTCGCTCTCGCCGATACCTATTCACTGCGCGCGGAGTTTTAT